ATTAGACAATGGAGAATGTCTTTCTGTTTAAATTGTGAAGATCGATGCTCACGCTGTTCATCACTGGATTGTCTGGTCCATAATCGATTATTTATAGACCTCCGCCATATAGCTGGAATAATATTGCTGAGTGTGGCGTAAAACAACAACTTAACCAACCAACCTTCTGTTTAGTTTTCCAGTTTGAACAGCTTCATCAAAATATTTGAAATTTATGCCGTAAAACCAACAAAGCTGCTTTCAGACAAGGTTCTTCTGAGCTTCCTGTCTGTCATTTCATTGGTTGGCCAGTGTCCGCAGAAGGTCGATCAGACGTGACCTTTTAAAAAGATGTCCTTCTGTCTTTGATGTGGTGTAAGCGACCACGGGGATCTGATTTCAGTGAGATTGAACCAAATGTCAGGCGAACGTATTGGAACAGGGTCGTTCACATAGCTGACCTGAATCCTGGTGGAGTCGCTGACCTGATGACCGACTGAGTGAATACTGTTTAACGCCGCATTCATCAACATTCCCGTATATCAGCTATCCATAAAACTCTGGACGAGACAAACAACCTTTGATATCACAACACTCCATGTACTCTAAACACCATGACGCAACCAGTATTCCTGTACCGAATATTCCAATCAATGTTCCGATCCCAGTACCAACGGGGTTCACAAGGGTTGACCACCGCACCCTACTCAGTCGCTGCTTGAACCCGTGAAGGTCCGGGTTAGAATGAACCTTCAGTAACCCACGCTTGTCGTAACAGGCGACTAACGGGATCGGGAGGTCAGGTTCGCTGACTTGGTTGGCACATGTCATTGTATCCCAATTGCGTAGATCGATGCTCATGCTGCTGATCACTGGGTTGTCTGTTCCAGACTCGATCTTTTACAAACCGCCGCCATATATCAGGAATATTGCTGAGTGCGGCGTAAAATTAAACTCACTCACTCAAGGAATAACGACCCATTTCCATTCCAGGAACGATATTTGGTCCATTCCAGGAACAATATAAATGTTGAATGATGGGTGAAATCCCCATTTTTATGACCCATACATTTAAGTTGTGACCAAAAAAATACGTAATCGTACAAGACGCGTTACTTGAGTTCTGTATTTTTTTTGTCACTATCCGTGGTCTGAATAAACTATCTGGGCCGTTTCCTACATGACTGGTCACATGTAACTGCCAGTCTTGTACCTAAATTCACAGAACTGAAACAATCAACCAAACATGCCTTCATCATGTATTCTTTCTTCAATCATAAAAATGATCTCGATAAAATCGGTCATTCTTTACATGGCGTTACGTTACTTTGACGACAACTAGTGCCTGTAGGCAGAGGTATGTGCAGGCGAAATAGCCATTGGCCCGCTAGCCCGTGGCTAGTAAAAATCCAGTGGGGCCCGAGTGGCTAGTGAACTTTCACGGGGTTATTTTGTAAATATATCAATCTCTCCGACTTGTTAAGTTACAATACACTTCTAAATCATGCAAGATTCTGGCCTGAGAAAAATGTTCATCATATTAGCAGCTTAATGATGAAACCCGTGTCTACATTCATATTTCGGACTAGTGAATTATTTTGTGGGCTTTAGCTACCTTTCAGGCATATTTAACTTTCAGGCATAGTTAGCCCGACTGGCTACCAAAATTTGGAAACTATTTCGGACACTGGGTATGTCTCTCGCACTCAATGAGAGTGAGTGAGTGGATTTTAGTGGATTTAGCAATTTTCCAGCAATATCACAGCGGGGGACACCAGAAATGGGCTTCACACATTGTACCCATGTGGGGGATCGAACCCGGGTCTTCGGCGTGACGAGCCAAAGCTTTAACCACTAGGCTACCCCACCCTCCGCACCCAATGAGAGCCTATTACAGTTTCACTGGCGCTGAGGGGGTCGTTGTCGGCACGGGTTCTGCAGGTATATAACCCAGGTACCTTCAGTGTTCAGTCCAAGGAACACTGCCACTTTCCGTGTACAAATACATACCCAACCAAAATCTGAATACAGAAACGTACCCAAGGATGAGTCCATTCGGCGTGTTGCTGTATTTTGATCGGAACTGCCATACTGTTGTTGCGAGGCATTTTATATAACAACAAAAACTCAACAACACACGAGCATAGGCAGAGACAAATATTTTCGAATAGGCACAATACTACTCACAATCAGGCGAACGGGAACAACTTCATACGGTTTTGGGTTGAGGAATGTGGAATCGTCCGCCGTTTCAACGTGTACGTTTCTGTTGTATTTTGACTTCCTTTTAGGTACATATCTGTAGCACCCGTCAAGGCTCACTAGCCATGCTGCCAATGACCAGACAAAACATTGTTCTGTTGAACACCGGGTGTTTGGGTGAGTGGATGTAGCAATATTCCAGCAATATCATGGTCGGGGACACGTGGGAATCAAACCCGGGCCTTCGGTGTGACGAGCGGACGATTTACCACTAGGCTATCCAACAGGCCCGCGGATGTTTTAAAGCTAGGTGTCACTACAGAGAATGTACCACGTATTTAAAACTCAGTCCCGCGTCGCCCATGTTGCATTGTGTTACCAAGCGCCACTTTGTGTTGTGTCACTCGCCATGACTGTCACACTCTAATGAATGCTGAAGCTAATCCCCGATGAGGGTGATGGGAGCTGCATCACACAGGGAGTCATCACAGTGTTCTCGTTTCCATTATATAATAGGACCTGTAAGTCACGCAAGGCGCTACTTCCAGTACCCCATTTCCGGTGACAAGTGTATACTTATGAGCCAGTTCTGGTTCCAAAAACACGCGACCGCCAAATATGACTTTACTAGACCGGACCAAGTGTACAACCATGCCTGGCTGTCACAGCTGTTGACAGTCTGAAGAGTTGGCTAATTTGGGGTGAGGTGAGGTGAAATTGGGTTTAACGTCGTGCTTGAGAATATTTCGCTCATATGACGACGTGTATGCGGGTGTATGTGTATGTGCGGCTGCTTGTACTAACCCAGACTTAAGCTGGTTTTATAGTGCTAGCCCACTGAGATATCATGCCGCAGTGAAGCATGAATACCCCACTCAGACACATTATACTGACTCCGAGCCGACCAGTCCTTGTTGTACCCATTAATGCCGAGAGCCAGGCAGAGACCAACAAGTACCATATTTTAACGTCTTTTGGTATGACGCGGTCGGGGATCGATCCCGCGACCTTCCGCTCTCCGGGCGGACGCTCTAACCACTACACCACGGAGGCGGGGTCGGCTAATTTCGGGATGGTTAGATCGGAAATATGTTATTCCTGCAAAGATTAATGGTTTCTTACTGTCAACTGACAACCATGAGAACATTCGACAAGGTATGAAACGTTGTTTGTCACGGGTAGTGACCTACTTACGGGCCCTATACAGCTAGACTCTCGGCGCATGACCTCGTGACCTTCCTATGGTTTCTGACCTCGCTTTCGCTCAGTCAGATACCATAGGAAGGACATTCGTTTCATATAATTCGTATGTAATGAGACCTCGTGTAGTATTCTCTATATCCGTTATCATTTTATATCCGGAGTATACCTCCAAAACCGTTCAGTATCTTTGAACAAAACTTAGCAAATATATCAAATATACCCAGAAGTGGTGCCTTATGCTATTTACAGATTTATGTCGTAATTTTGTTTCTCGATTTCCTCAAAAGGGAGGGGTCGGCTTCGTTTCCGGACCCCAACTCGAAAACCGTTCAATGTCTTTAAACAAAACTTAGCAGACATATTTGCGGATTTTTGGCATTTATATTTTTCATGATTTCCATGGAAACGATTTTGACAGTTCTTTCAAATTTTTACTGGCCTGGATTTGTCATCTTATGATGACTTTTGTTAAGATTGCAACTGCATCACAATCCTGACCAGGTAAATACCTATATGTAATATTACTGATATACATGCTGAAACGAGAACTATTACAATGATTACTATTCATTTTTTCATTAACAGGGCTCCAGATAAGGGCCGTATCGGCGTATGTACTGATAGAAAATATGCATGATACGGTAGGAAATAATTTAGAAAACGTAGCACATACGCACCACATCAGTGCTGTACGGTCTTAGAGTTATTTTCAGACGTTTTTATCTGAAAAAAGTATTGTTTTATTGTTTATAGATCTGTTTACACAAGAGTAGCAATGTTGTGGTGCATATATGAAACGAAGCACAAGATTACTGATCCGCCATTAAATTCCATTCAGTACTCTAAATGTACTCTAAGTTTTTCCAGTACTCCTATATTGAAACAAGAAGGAGTATGTTCTCCTGATGTTGAAAAATTATCTTGAGCCCTGATCAAGATTGGAATTTTTTTAATGGGATTGTCAAAATGCATAGAAGACGTATATATAAGACGTATGTAGATTTCGACTTAGGAATTTACTTAGAGGTTAGACCTCTACCTATTTACGTTGGCCAAGGGATGCAGATGGAATGACGGCCATGTGAAAACTATTAGCGCGAACTCTGACATTATGTCATATTAATAAGATCCTACACAGCAACAACAACAGAAATATAACAAAATGCATAACAATAAAATATAAATGTAAAACACACAAAAACAAAAATCTCAATGGGCACGTGGCAGGAGACTCTTTTCTGGCAACAAAAACCTTCTCTCATATTCCTGCGTCTGCGGTCCCATGTATTGCAGAATAACAGTAACATAAAAAAATTACTGACAGCAATTGAAATTAAAGCAACATTTAAAAAAAAAGCATAACTGTATTTTCAGACAGGTTTAAAACAGAACAAGTCTGAGCACATGGGTGCCGTTGTACAAAACAACTTTAGTGCTGAGGCTATCGTAAGTCTATGTTAAGGTATCGAAATTACGATCACCTTTGTGCTAAGATCGCTTTGTACAACAGCACCCTGGCCTCGTCTAGCGGGACACCCAATGTCCCGATTGTGCCGGACATCAACAATCATGACAAGCCTGGCCGATAAATAAGTATCTCATTACTGTGTACTGACCTCAACACAAGTCGATGCATCTTCTTCACTTGACCCATACTGGACATCGGTTAGAGTGAAACACTGGCCTGCTCCAGGCGTTTAGCGGTGGGAATCATATTAAAATCATCATCCCACTTCCCACTACAATCAGGTGTACGAGAGCGCTTCTAGACAGTGTGGAGATCGATCAGTAGTGAGAATGAATCCGTGTACTTCACTATATGCACAGCTCTGTGGTGCGTTGTCAGAGTGTCGTCTGCTGCTCTGGTCATCCCAACTTGCTTCCCTTTGCTCATGCACAATGCACAATCGGCAAAACAAATTAATATTTCATCCGTAAGTTATTGCATGTGGACATTTTCATGGGCCGTTCTCCTGTTGCAATCACAACACGCTTCTGTCAATCCTGGATAGAATGCTCGTGTTATACCGAGTTCACGGAGACATAATGACGTGAATACGGTTAAATGCACGTTCTGTTCACTGTTGCCTGGCGTCACTCGGCTCGAATTCTATACACTGCGGAGGCCATTTTACTTTTCACGGGACGAGTTTGAATTAGAGTTACCCCCCTTCGACTATGGGTTTGGCGCTGTTTGAGTGATTTTATGGAAGTTCTAAATTTTTTCAGTTTCCATGTCGACTTGGGCAGGTTAGTGAGTAAGTTTAGTTGTCAGTGTACAGCAACGTATACCTAGCAGCCTAGCCCAAAAGCGCCCTTGGTTGGTCATGAGTGAGTGATTGAGTGAGTGAGTTTAGTTTTACGCTGCTTTGAGCAATATTCCAGTAATATCACGACAGGGGACACCTGAAATGGGCTTCACACATTGTACCCAGAAGTCTTTGTCGTGACGAACGAACGCTTTAACCACTAGGCTACCCTACCGCATAAACGAAATACCTTTATGTTATTAATAGATTAATCTGGATTAATAGATACCTTCAGCAAAAGTGTTCTCAGATACAGGAAGAAAATATATAGATTTTGTGGGTAATAGTATATATTTGACACGAATTACACTGTCGCATAAAAAAATGAAACAAATGGAAATCTTGTTTTCAACTTCGGCAAATATCAGGGGAATTTTAGGGGGAAACCGTAGTTAGATTATGATAAAAATACTTATAACACAGATGACGTTCTATTATGCCAGTGGCACTGACCCGGTTAAACTAGGTCAGTCTTCACCAGCTACTCTGGTCAGACCCTCTATGGATAGTTGGTTAGGACTGACTGACTGACTGAGTTTGGTTTTACGCCGCTTTTAGCAATATTCCAGCAACATCACGGCCGGGGACACCAGAAATGGGCTTCACACATCGTACCTATGTGGAGATTCGAACCCGGGTCTTCGTCGTGACAAGCCAACGCTTTAACCACTAGGCTACCCCACGCCCCGGTTGTCGTAAGAGGCGACTAAATAGCCGCCCCCGTGACGCGGTTGCGGGTGATCGCACCAGCGACGTGGATGTTGCTCACTATATATACCACTGGGGTATTGCTACTTATAGGTTGTTTGAGATCGAATATAAGACATGACATTCAATATAAGTGGAACCTGTATTTGCGGACAGTGTCCGGCGTCCAGAGCCCCGTGCGTCTCGACCACTCCGGCCGTCGGCTTCTCCTCCCAGTATAGTTTTATACATGATACTGATTTACATAAACATAATTGACGTGAATAAATTGACTTTGAATAGCCCAGCTATATGGCGGCGCTCTGTAAATAGTCGAGTCTGGACCAGACAATATAGTGATCAACAGCATGAGCATTGATCTGCGCAATTGGGATACGATGACATGTGTCAACTAAGTCAGCGAGCCTGACCACCCGATCCCGTAAGTCGCCTCTTACGACAAGCATGGGTTACTGAAGATCAACGGTTCCAAATTGCGCAGATCGATGCTCATGCTGTTGATCACTGGATTGTCTGGTCCAGACTCGATTATTAACAGACCGCCGCCATATAGCTGGAATATTGCTGACTGCGGCGTAAAGCTACTCACTCACTCACTCACTCACTGAAGATCAAGTCTAATGTACTCACTCACTCAACAAATATCACGTGTCAGGTTTGAAATGAATTCTTCAAAAGGGTGTAAATGCCTTTGTACTCATCATATGAAAAACAACAACCTTTGACCATGTTATCATGGCATGCAGCTTTCAGATACGAGTTTCTGGATATCTGAATTGACCAGAGTTATCTCCTTTATTTCAATTCTAAAAAGGCAGAAAAAAACCCTGCTAAATAACATACAATATCTGTATTTAATACACTGTTGATTCCACACCAGTTGTGTTTTTCAGGTAAAACACGACTTCAAAATCTGAGCCCTCTTTCACAAAGCGTTTTCATCTTTGCGCTACGACTATGTTAAGTCCCAATCGCTACTACGTTGTTTAAAAGTGTAACATACAACTGACACGGTACGTCTACGAAAAATGAGAACCCCGGTCCGATGCTGTCATCTGCTGTTCTTCAGAAGTATGAGTTGGGTGTAAACTGACGGACATAAAAAATGCATGTACACTTGAAACCTTGACTTACCAAAGCGTTACAAGGCTGGAACAGTCGCCTAAACACTGCAAACTAATGGTCAACAAGCATTGTCACTAAGGTGACATAATCCCCCGCCGCAAATTATCAAATCAAACTTAAAAAGTAATGAAAGCGAGGGTCGCAATTTAAGATGGAGTTAAATCTCTTGATATCTTGCACTGTAGTTGTTCAAACACACAAATATATAAGACTCACTTTGACCTTGACATGAATGTCTTAGTGTATGAAATATGCAAAAATAGTAATAAAGAAATTGCTTATTGAAAAACATTCAAGGGAAGTCTTAAAAGTCTATGAAGAAAATCCAGTGAACTGTTCTTGAGATATCTCGTTGACAATCTTAACATGCAGTTTGACATGCTGAAGTCTTAAAAAGTGTCGCCGTAAACTTGAAAATTAAGTGAAGGTCACCAAAATCGACTGAGCCCTGCGCCTTCCCTAAATAAAGCATGGCGTTGAATATGGAGAAAGTCCAGTGAGATATCTTGCTGACAAGGGTAAAATGTTAACAAGTCCCCTTGTGACCTTGAAATGAAGGTCAAGGTCACCAAACCTGACTGGGACCTTTCTTTTACTGTGATGAACCTAGGTACAAATATGAAAAGAATCCAGTCAACGGTTCTTTTGATATTCCAATTCGTACGTACGTACGTACGGACGGAGCCTTATACTATATGCCCCGCTCCGCGCTAAACGCGCGGCGGGGGATAAAAACAAAACTCTGATACCCGTATCAAGTAAGTCACCATCGAATAACCTTTTGTTTGTGTCATTTTCAACTACCATAAAAAAATGGGTGAACTCCACTTTCGTTAGTCCCTGAATTTCTATGATTTTGACAGTAACAAACAAACACATTTCAATTGAAAAAGAGCCCCAGTAAGTTGGGAGATTCAGGAAAATCTCGACTTGCTTCATTTAGGGCTTGAGCATTGCAGGGAAGGCAAGGCAGAAGGGATAATAATGTGCTTCAGGGATTGTGAGGCAGACGACACTTCCGTTTGCTTGGCAGGTTTTATTCTTTAGTTCATTGAACCTAGTTTACTGTATAGAAACTATCCCGACTCACAATTCGTATCGACATTTAAAAAAGTTATTCATGGTGTTTGTGAAATAATTCATCCAGATCTACGACTGTCCTTTTCATGATGGGGGTGGTGGTGAGGCCTAGTGGTTTAAGCGCCCGCTCGTTACGCTGCAGACCCCTTTTCGATTCCCCACATGGGTACAATGTGTGAAGCCCATTGCTGGTGTGCCCCGCCGTGATATTGCTGGAATATTGCTTAGAGCGGCGTAAAACTATACTCACTCACTCGCTTTTCGTGGTCATAAGTTTATTTTCTATTTGCTTCTATAGCTCATGATCGCGGAAGCTCGGGATAATTTATGAACGCTTCAATCGTTATTTCCCTTTTCTTGGTTGCCTTTCATTAGAACTGTGGCAACCAGTTGGATCTATCGTGTGAGTTTGAACTTCTCTTTTTTCACAAAAATAACTCTTTTCTCCACATATATCGGTTGAAGAGACAATGTCCATCCAAATCGATAAATACTGAGTAGACAATCATGGGAGGTAGCCCATGTTATCTTCATTTGGGTGTGGTGCTATGCAGATGGATTGCACAAGGTTTATGTATCAAATTGCTGAAAAGCATGTGCAAAAATATCGCGCATGTGAACAGCTGCATTTTGGTGTAAAGTTTTGTTAAGAATTCGCAAATTTTCACTGAGTTTCATCCTTTATTGAACTAATGACAATAATCTTTTCAACGTTACGAATTTGTGTTACAATACATCAGTTCATGTGTAAACAGTACCTTGACTAGTATGGAATATTTTGCAAATCTAGTTTAGAACAGTTGACAGAAGTAAGTGCACGTGGTTACATTTACACTAGTGAGTCTAAACCTTTGATGGGTATTATATGTGTCAATGGCACGGGACACTCGCTTCCAAATCAGCGGTCATGAATGACACATTAGGATCTTCACTGTCTGGCGTGAGTGGAACAGCAAGGACCGTCAGATATGCGAAACAAAGAAGTTTGTGAAAAGCCACACGGTCACCTACGTACCACAGTGGTTGTTCATAATGGTGTATTAACCAAACATATGTTGCAAACTGGGCGATCTACGAATTGTCTATGTAATAGTACTAGAATTAGTACTAGCACTTGTACTTTGACGACTAATAAAAAGCCATGAAATATCAAGAATTCGTCACAAATTTACAATCCACCCTCGAGAGATGATCTTACAAGCTGACGAAATCCGTTTATTTCGGGCCCTAATCTTGCTGATGTAGCTGTGGTATTGCATTAGTTTGTATTGTCATCTTGCTGTATTTCGTTCTGAGATCTTGCTGTGTTTTGGTTTTAAATTTACAGTTATTTACAATCTAACCTTGGTGTCTTTTGGTCTTAGAGTGTTATTGGCTTATTGTATGCTCTACATCTTGCTGTCAAATCGGGCTGTGTTATCATTGTATAAAGCACTCAATGCTACCCGTGAAGACGCGGGTTAGAATTGGTCTACAGTAACCCATGCTTGTCGTAAGACGCGACTAACGGGATCGGGTGGTCAGACTCGCTGACTTGGTTGACACGCGTCATCGTATCCCAGTTGCGTAGATCAATGCTCATGCTGTTGATCACTGCATTGTCTGATCCACACACGATTATTTACAGAGCGCCGCTATTGCTGGAATATTGCAGAGTGCGGCGTTAAACATCAAACCAACACAAGCTGACGAAGTGAACGAAGGGTCGTAAAATATCGTCACACAAAGCAAGCGACTCTGTTAACTGTTTTACTGTTTTCTGGACCAAATGAGTTATAAATGACAACTGTCGTTTTGACATTTACATAGTGTAATTTCTGTGTCCGTATTTGTATATGTGTGTACGGGACCGCCAGTGGTATGTCAGTGACATTGTTTGTGTTACTGACCATAATCCAATATATGTTTCTATA